CACAGTGGTTTTCGTCGTCCCTATCCATACTACTCATTCGATCATGAAACGCCGTCCACAGATGTTTAAGCGTGTGTGAAGCTTACAGGCTACGCTAGACTTCATCGCGGCACGTATCCATCTAAATCACCGCGAGTAAGCAAAAAATGACAACACCTTCGTCGTTGACTTCATGTACTCACGCTCCAGTACTTCCACGCGCCACGATAAAACTAGGTAGCAGCACGGGATAGGAAAGTGTATGCTTTTATGGCGAGAGTTCTTCTCATCTCAATACTCGCGCATGGCCCTTAAGGCTGTCTCCGGGCGGGCGTAGGGCAAGGTGCAGTGGCTGCCTCACTATGTTGGATGCGGCTGTGATCCAAACTACTGCTGCTCTCTTTGGGGAGTGGCGGCGTTTCTGGGGAAGGTTTGCTCCAGCGAGGTGGCAATTTAAGCCGCGCCTAGCTATTGCGTCCGTAAAAGGCTCTTGTGGTCTGTCCCATCGGAATCATACGAGTCATAACTGTGCAACATCCATATCATTGCATGTGCAGTAAAGCTCTTCTGGCATCTACCATCAGTGCTGACAGTCGTGGTGGTTTTTTTTAGGTGTCCCGATCTTCTAGTGACTCAGAGGAAGTGTCGGAGGAGAAAGCCAAGGCTTCCAAGCCCTCGATCACGTCTAATGCCAACAAGGAAGTGAAGAAGCCCAAGCAGAGTGAGACTCCTGCCACCACGTCTTCAAACCTAGTCAACTCGACGGGTACTGCGCAGAAGAAGAAGGGCCAGAACAACAAAAACAAGAAGCAAGCTGCCAACGGCGCGGTTAACTAACCAAAGAAGTAATATATTTGCTAGCATTCAATGCTCTAGTCACTCTATGGACTCTACGTAGGCACCCACTCGCCTGATGCTGTGCGTTTTAGTGTTTGTACAGCAGTATGACCCCAGTCGACGCTCAAGATGGCGATGAATAGCACAAAGCAAACGTACACGACCCACGCCACGTTGAACATCTTGAAGGCGTGCATGTTGTCTCGGCCGATACATTTGCCCATCCACGGACAGTGATGGTCATAGCCAGCGATACACGATCCCCTCTTTTCAACGCTGGTTTGAGCGCGATGATAGCTCTTCAAACGCGGAAG